TATTATAGAGGAGGCATAGTTAATAATACTCTGTCTACCACATTATTACTATCCCAAATCTGTGAAGACTAAAGTAAGAAAAAGATTAATGAATCTCTGATGTTCTCTCATCTCTGCTTGCTCCTTACCTTTGGGTAAAGTGATGATGTTAAACATGGCTTTGAGCTGCTCTAATTAGTGATTGCAGAATCATTAGTGCTAGAGAAGGATTTTGGGATGTCAAATACAGCTGGATCAAACATGTTCATATGGAAAATAGTGGGTTACTGGAGGAAAGCCCCTGAGGGAGCAATGAACATTGTTGGCACTCAAAGGACGAGTCTGGCAGTGAGAACTGACTCCAAGTTTCACGACAGTTTGTAAATGTGAGACAAATCTCCAGAGCCCAGCAGGGAGGGCTGTTGTCAGGGGTTGGTTTGCATCATCTTCTCTTTGGGGATGGATTTTACAGTGCTGGGTGTCTGAAGGTTTGTTGTTTCCCTCCACCCCTCTAACAGAGCTGAAGAAGACACTCCAGGACTCCAAGAAGCTGCTGAGGAAGAGGTGAGTCTCCGCAGTGAGGGCCACTGTCCCACTTCTGGAAGCTTGTTGGGGACAGGGGACAACTTCACAGACCTGCAGGGCAACACCTCTTGTTTCCAAAGTTGTGGTGAGACCTCCCTGTACAGGACACCCAGGACAGCTCAGCCCTGCCTGTGAGGCTGAGATAACACAAGGCACCCACCTCCTTTGGGAGGAATGACCCTCTGCAGATTCTGGCTGGAAAGATGTTCCTCTGCTCTCCCATGTTCAGCTCACAAGTAACTTCCTGGCCAAGGGGCAAATCTTCCTGTCCTGGTGGCTCTGGATGATCAGGGTGAGCCCTGGCTCCCTGGCCAGTGTACCTGGCACAGCCCCTTCCCTTCCCAGCTGGGAACCTCCCAGGATTGCTGCTGGGAACCATCTCTGGCCTGTGCAGAACCCTGGTTCCAAACTGTGCCAGTGACTCTGCTGATAATGGAACAGTGTCGACAGTTGTTCCCTGTCATCACTAATTCATGGAATTCAGGAAACCTCTTCTGGAGGAGCCCCCTTCTTTCCTGCCTGCACCTCCAGGGCCCAGTGAACCACAGAAATGATGGAGAGAGATGAAAGAGAATCAAGTATAGAAAAGAAAACGAGATGTTTTGTTGTCTGTCAAAATGTCTAGATTTTTCTTTTTTCCTCCCCCTGGTTCCAAGGGTTGTAGCACCAAAACCCAAACCCCTGGACAAAGAGGCCGTGTGGCAGCTGCTGCTCCACGCAGACAGGAGAGACTACGAGAAAATCTGCATTAAATATGGAATTGTCGACTTCCGTGGGATGCTGAGGAAGCTGCAGGAGCTGAGGAAGGACACAGAGAGTGAACAAGATGAGGTAAATAAACTGAAACCACTGACTTTTAACAAACAGCAGAGTCCTCAGTAGCTTCTGGCAACAGGCTAAATCTTCTTAAATTGCTTTGTAGATGAAAATCTTACTGGATGAGAGAGTGATTTATGACAATGTTTAAAGAAGTCTAATTTTACTCCTGCAGATGAAAATGCTGATGACTCTTTTGAAATCCAGTTCATAGATTTTAGGAGACACTGACCACAGGGAGGTTCAGCTGCCTCTGATGAGAATTTGGACCCCAAACTGAAAAGTTATATGCTCAAGAGTCAAAATTGACCTTGACATACAGGGGCATGTAGAAACCTGCCTGGACAGTGTGTGAATGATCAAGAGGCAGCATGTAAAATACAATTTGTGTGCAGGAGGAAACCGTGGAAGCTCACAAAAACATCTGCACACATAACCTTAGAGGTAGCTCTTTATCTGCAGATAAACAGTAGATTTCACATTAATTCAACAGCTTAGGAACTTCTGTCACAGCAGCTTTACCATTTACGAGGTTCTTTGATTTTCCTTTGCAGTTAATTCACAGTATCAAAAACTTGGAACACATCAAAGTCGACAAGGAGGGAAACGCCACGTTCAGCCTGGAGATGGAGCTGAAAAACAAAAACAGCAACGTGTATCTGCTCAAGGTGAGGGGCAGGGGGGAAGCTGGTCAGAGCAGCCACTGGAGTCTCCTGCAGAAAATGCTTCATCTGCTGAGCAGTGGGGAGAGCAAATCAAGTTGTCTGTCCTTGGCAGAGCCCTGGGTTAGGGAGGAGTGTTGGTGGGTGCAGTCTTTGGGGGTGAACATCCCCTGGGGTTTGTAAATCCAAGCACAGGGCACACAGTCAGTCACTGACATCCTTGGCAAGAGCTCTGCCAGTGAGAAGGGGTTCATAGAACAGCTGGAGTTGGAAGGGACCTTTAAAAGGCCAACTAGTCCAACCCCCTGCCACGGGCAGGGACAACTTCCACTATCCCACTATCTCAAGCCCCGTCCAACTGGCCTTGGATACTTCCAGGGATCCAGGGGCAGCCACAGCTTCTCTGGGCAACCTGTACCAGGGCCTCCCCACCCTCACTGTAAAAATCTACTTTCTTATATCTGATCTAAATTGACCCTCCTTTGGTTTAAAACCATCGCCCCTTGTCCTAACAGAGTCTTTCAGGCTGCAGAAATCCTGCAGTTTCATATAAATTTTATTCCCTTTCTAAAGTTATTCCACTATAACTCCCTTCCATGAAAGGAAATGTCAAGGCAGTAAAATCTCCCATTTAGATGTGTAGTGCCTCCAATGTGATCCCCGGGTGCTCAGGGCCGTGGATGTGTCTCTGGAAGTTAAATTCCAGTCAAACTGTGGTTAGTGGCTCTAACACAGGGGAAATCAGGATTCATTGGAGAGATCAGACTAACCATGAACTTCTGAATCAAAGGTATGACATGAAGTCTCTGAGCCACAGTGTAGAGAATGTAACCCAGTCGTGTTCCAGAAAGGGAACTCTCCTGCTTCTCCACCTGTGAGGATGCTGAAATTTGAGCAAAGAAAGCACTTTGTCTTTGCAGTTACAGTGACTGTGCATTAGTTAAGCCTCAAACCCTTATGTGGGCCAGCAAAGAGCTGCTGTTCTGCCCAGTTTGAGGGTCTGGTGCTCTGTTCTGTGCAGGACTTTATGCACAGATGTTGCACAAGCAATGAGCCCTGACCACTGTCAGCAGGAGCAGAGTGGAGACTTCTCTGCAGTTACTCATTTGTATCAACGAGGGGATTGTAGCACCAATTTGCCCTGATTTGTGCTCTGCTCTGGGCTGGCCTCACATGGAATATTGTGGCAGTTTTGGTCACAACACTGTGAGGAAGATATGAAACCAATAGAGAGTGTCCAAAGGAGGGACATGAATGTGGAGAAGGGCCTTGATTTGAAGCCGTGTGAGGACACTGAGGGCACTTGGTGTGTTCAGCTGGAGCAGAGGAGACTGAGGGGAGACCTCAGTGCAGTTCCAACTGCCTGGGCAGGGGCAGAGGAGGGGCAGGGACTGAGCTCTGCTCTGGGGGGACCAGGGACAGCAGCCAGGGAATGGCTGGAGCTGTGTCAGGGCAGGCTCAGGTTGGATCTCAGGCAAAGGTTCTTCCCCCAGGGGCTGGTTGGGCACTGCCCAGGCTCCCCAGGGCAGTGGGCACAGCCCCAAGGCTGCCAGAGCTCCAGGAGGGTTTGGATGATCCTCTGGGGCACAGGGGGTGACCCTTGGGGATGGGCCTGTGCAGGGCTGAGGGTTGGACTGGATGATCCTTGTGGGTCCCTCCCAGCTCAGCACATCCTGGGATTCTGTGAGTCTGTGAGTGCCTGGCACAGGTGAGCTCTGCCTGTGTGGGAACACTCCCCCTCTCCCCAGGACGGGCAGCGGCTCCGCTACGGGACGGGGGATGAGTACAGGAAGCACTGCCTGAGGAGGATTGGGAGGAGGTACCACTTCATCATCAACGACCTGCAGCCAGAGGATGCAGGCGTGTACCAGGTCAGGGTGGAGGACGTCCCTGTTTTCTCCACTGAGCTGGATGCTGAAGGTGTGTGATGTACAACTATAACAAAAGGTTATTTTTTTTGCTTGAAAATTTTGTCTGGGAGAAAATGCAAAGCTCAGCAGTAACTCCTGACAGCCACAGAGGACTGACTGGCTTGATGTTGCCAAATAAGGGCTCCCTGTATGGCAGAGGTGAAAAAGAGCAGGAGGGTGATTATGTGATTTAGGTGCTGCATTTGCAGTCCAAAGGACTAAGTCTAGGTTCAAGAACCAGTTTGGCTCTGACTTGTGGATGACAGTGAGCACATTCCTCAACTTCCCCATGCTACAGTTTCCTTCTGTAAGCTCAGAATAATAATGATATAACTCAATCCAAGCATTGTGCTGCAGGAATACATTGATGACTACAAACTGTCAGCACATCAATGACGTGTGGGATAAATGTCTCAGAAGATAATGACACAAAAATCCACTTTTCTGCTGGTCCATCCTGCAGAATTGGTTGCAGGATCACATCTCCGTGTTCCCTTTTCCCCATTAAACCGACGCTCACGGGCACCACAACCCTCTGTTCTTCCTTCCCTGAGCTGCAACGAGCTTTTCCTGGGAGGACAGAATGAGCTGTTGCCTTTCCATAGTGAAACAAAGGCCAGGCCTGGAAGAGTTAACTGAGATATTTGGACCTGCTAAGAAAAGCCCCCCCAGCACTTGTTCTGCTGCTCAGAGCTGTTCTGTTCTGTTCACTGGACCTAAACCCAGAACAATGCTAGAAACGGTGTACAATGAACCTGGGGGTAATAAATTAGGATAAGGTGGACATTTGAATAGGAGGAAAGGGCTTGGAGCCTTTCTGCAAGCTTCAGTAGTTAGGGCAAGACCCGTGGAAAGGTAAGAAGGTCAGAGCAAGAAAGGTGAGAAGACGACCCCCAGCTTGAGGCTGAAGGCTGGATGTACCCCCGAAATTCAGTGCCAGGAGAAGCACCTCCCTGAGCTCCGCCTGGACTCTGCCTGTCATGAATATGTATAGATAGATGTTGTAGTCATATGAATATACCAGTAATCACATGTGTAAAATCGTACAAACCCCTTGATTTGTGTGGTGCCCTTGAGCGAGTCTGTGCAGGGCCGCCTGCCTCGCTCCCAGCCTGGCTTTGCAACTGTTGCCTAAAGAAAACTCAGGGAGGAAAAAAAACTCGGAGGCAACTTAATATGGAGGTAAGGTAAGAAAGGGGTTTAAGGGTGCCTCTCGGGCACTGAGGTTACAAGATGTGCAGCTCCGATCCAGTGTTACAATTTTATAACGCTGTCTGTCCAATCCCGGATTTTATCCACCCCCCAGCTTTCACCCTCGTCCACCCCCAGCCCACCCCTTGGGAGTTGGGTCTGGGGTCTTTTTGAGACCCTTTTCTTCATCACCTCGGTCTTCCTGGGAGTATGGAGGGCACACAGTCACACAGTTCTTGTGGCTCAGGCCAGGGATTAGATGTTCTTAAACAGGAGAGGCCTACCTTGAAGGGAAGTCTAAATATTCTAATGGAATTTAGGGGGGTAATTGATGTGGGGAGCATGGAATGGGGTAAGAGGGTTGGGGAATGTGTATCTACTGTGGTAAGGGTAAGGGAATAAATGCAGCTGGTTCTAAGACCTACATTTACTACAGAACTGCTTCTAAAACTTATAAAAATCAGAAAAATCAAAAATCAAAAAAAACCCCTGAGGCATCACAGCAGATACCCGGCTGCTCAAAGGACGCAAGGTCTCTGAGCAGTCCTCCCCGCCGAGTTTTTCGGCACCGACAGCTCTGGTTTCCCCTCGCAGCCATCCCCGCGCGGTTCCAGCAGCCGCTCCGCGACGTGCGCTGCCCCGAGCAGGGGGACGCCGAGTTCCGCTGCGTCCTGCGCAGCCCCTGCCACCAGCCCGCCTGGCTGCACAAGACACACGCCCTGCGGGCCGGCCCGAGGCACCACATCTCCGTGTCGCCCGACGGCCTCACCCACCAGCTCCTCATCAGGAACGTGGAGCCCGCGGACAGCGGGATGTACACGCTGGAGGCGGGGCAGGGCTCCTCCAGCGCCTGGCTGCTCGTGGAGTGTGAGTGCCGGGGGGGCTGGGGTGGGACACGGGAACGTTCCTCTCGCTGCCTCGTTGTCCGGGGAGATGTTCCCATGCTGAGAAATCAGTTGTTGAGCCTCTGGCTCCTCAGTCATGGATGATAGAGTGGGGGGTGTTGAGGCTCTGGGGTGACTTTAGAGCCCCTTCCAGGGCCTAAAGGGGCTCCAGGAGAGCTGGAGAGGGTCTGGGGACAAGGGATGGAGGGACAGGACAAGGGGGGATGGCTTCATTGTGACAGAGGGCAGGGTTGGATGGAATATTGGGAAGGAATTCCTCCCTGTGAGGGTGGGGAGGCCCTGGTACAGTTGCCCAGAGAAGCTGTGGCTGCTCCTGGATCCCCTGGAAATTACGTCCAAGGCCAGGTTGGAGCAACCTGGGATAGTGGAAGGTGTCCCTGCCTGTGGCAGGGGGTGGGACTGGATGAGCTTTAAGGTCCCTTCCAACCGAAACCATTCTGGGATTCTGTGATTCTAAATTCTATTTGGGAAAATGAAGGTCTGGTTAGACCCCCTTTCCTCTTCAAATGAGACCAATTTTTCTCTTTTTAATTAATCCTGACAAATCCTATTGGCTTATTGCTGCACACCTACAATGTTCTCTGTTATCAAAAACTGCTCCATATCTCACTACATGTTTTTGAGGAAGCTGTCACTGGGACCACACTACAGCAGGCATGGGGTCAGGAAGAAGGCAAAAGGAACTAATGAGTTCCAGATACAATCTAAGCCCCTCTAAATCAGACCTGTCATGCTGGAAATTTGTTTTTCTCTCAGTTTTGTCTTGTTTGTTTGTTTGTTATAACAACCGTGTTCCACTAAAAAAAGTTGTGTTTTAAATAAAAATAATTGTCTCTAATTAACTTTTCATTGTCTGAATGTGACACTGAAAAAATTCAGAATTTGAAATGAATTTAAATTTATTTAAATGTATTATGTGTCTGTATCCTAAAATTAAATTATAAAATTGCTTACACATTTTCTTTGGCCACTGATGCAATAGGTGACCTATTGATCATCTGTTCTTTGTTCCCCCCCCTCTTTTTCTGTAAATTCTGTCTGCTCCAATCAAACAATGCAACTTCAACGCAGATGCCAAAGGGAAGAAGAGACCGGATGAGGAAGGAATTGAAACAATCGAAAGGGAGACATCTGAGTGGCTGAAGGAAACGATGGCAGACAACGAAAGGGCGAGGAAACTTCGGCGCCAGGAACGTGCCAGGGACGAAGGTCATGCCATGGACACCGGCGTGGAAGAAAAGGGCTGGTACAGGAAGGGTCAAGGCAGCAGCCAGGACAGAGGCCAAGGCAGTGGCCAAGGCCACTCCATGGATACTGATGATGGAAGCCACATATTTTTGGGAAAAGAGGGGCTCCGCAAAACCCACATAAACGGAGGGATGGGGCCTGGGCAGTTTTCTGGAGCAGATCTAGATGGAGACTCAGTGACAAATGATGGCAGCATCTTTGGATTAAAAGGCTTAGGAGGCAAAGGTGGATTAAGGCCTGTGCACGGCATGGACTCTGTGCCAGGCAGGGAAGGTCCTGGGGATGGAGCAGGAGGAGCAGGGGGATGGGATTCTGTGGCTGGCAGAGGAGAGGGTGTGCTGGGTGCTGGTCACATGGACATGGATGGTGGAGAAGGTTTGGGCTCTCAGTATGACAAGGATGGGAATTTAGGTGATCCCAGTTCCAGAGCTGGCTTTGGGGGTGTTGGGAGATTTGGTGCCACTGATGGAAGTTCTGTGCCAGATGGGCTCAGTCCTGGTTCAGGCAGAGTGGGAGATGGTGTGGGGGATCTGTTCAGCAGGGCTGGCCCAGGGGCTGCAGCGTGGGGGAGTGCTGCAGAGCCTGCAAGAGGAATGGGGTCCCACCATGGCAAGGGTGGTGACCTGACTGGGGGTGACATGAACGGAGCAGGGATAAACAGACAGGGACAAACAGGGGCTCCCTATGGCAAGGATGGCCTGGCACCTCATGCCAGTGCTCAGTTGGGTCAGGGGGGCAGGTCTGGCTCGCTGTATGGCCCAGGTGGCCTTCCAAGTGGAGATGGGGCTCTACCTGGTGCAGGTGGCAGTTCTGTAGGAGAAATGGAGGCTTTCTATGGTCCAGATGGTCGGCCACTTGGAGCAGGGGCTGGTGGTGCTGGTGGTTCAGGTGCAGGGGGATTTGGGGCTCCCTATGGAAAGGATGGCATCCCTGCTGGAGCTGGGGTTGGTGGTGCTGGTGCAGGGGGATTTGGGGCTCCCTATGGAAAGGATGGTCTCCCAGTTGGGGCTGGTGCTGGTGGTACTGGTGGTGCTGGTGCAGGGCCACTTGGGTATCCATATGGAAAAGATGGCATCCCTGCTGGACCAGGTGTTGGTGGAGCTGAAGGTGGTGGCTTTGGAGGTGTTGGATCTTTGTATGGGAAGGATGGTCTCCCAGTTGGAGCAGGTGTTGGTGCTGCTGGTGTAGCTGGGGCAGGGGGATTTGGTTCTCCCTATGGAAAGGATGGTCTTCCAGCTGGAGCTGGTGTTGGTGGTGCTGGTGCTGCTGGTGCAGGGGAGTTTGGGTATCCATATGGAAAAGATGGCCTCCCTGCTGGTGCAGGCACTGGTGGAGCTGCAGGTGGTGGCTTTGGAGGTGTTGGGTCTCCTTATGAAATGGATGGTTTCCCAGCTGGAGCAGGTGCTGCTGGTGCAGGGGGAGGTGGGGGTCCCTATGGAAAGGATGGTCTCCCAGTGGGAGCAGGGGTTGGTGCTGCTGGTGGTGCTGGTGCAGGGGGATTTGGGGCTCCCTATGGAAAGGATGGTCTCCCAGCTGGAGCAGGAGTTGGTGGGGCTGGTGTAGGGGGATTTGGGGCTCCCTATGGAAAGAATGGTCTCCCAGTGGGAGCAGGTTTTGGTGCTGCTGGTGTAGCTGGTGCAGGGGGAATTGGGGCTCCCTATGGAAAGGATGGTGTCCTGGCTGGACCAAGCATTGGTGGAGCTCCAGGTGGTGGTGTGGGAGGTGTTGGAGCTCCATATGGAATTGATGGTTTCCCAGCTGGAGCAGGTGCTGCTGGTGCAGGGGGAGCTGGATCTCCATATGGAAAGGATGGTCTCCCAGCTGGAGCTGGTATTGGTGGTGCTGGTGCAGGGGGAGTTGCAGCTCCCTTTGGAAAGGATGGTCTTCCAGTGGGAGCTGGTGTTGGTGGTGCTGGTGTTGGTGGTGCTGGTGTTGGTGGTGCTGGTGTAGGGGCATTTGGGTCTCCCTATGGAAAGGATGGTCTTCCAGCTGGGGCTGGTGCTGGTGGTGCTGGTGCAGGGGGAGTTGGTTCTCCCTATGGAATAGATGGTCTTGCAGCTGGGGCTGGTGGTGCTGGTGGGGTTGGTGCAGCTGGTGCAGGGGGGGTTGGGGCTCTCTATGGAAAGGATGGTGTCCTGGCTGGAGCAGGGGTTGGTGGTGCTGGTGGTGCAGGGGGAGTTGGAGCTCTCTGTGGAAAGGATGGTCTCCCAGCTGGAGCTGGTGGTGGTGGTATTGCTGGTGCTGCAGGAGTTGTGTCTCCCTATGGGAAGGATGGTCTCCCAGCTGGGGCTGGTGGGGCTGGTGAGGCTGGTGTAGCTGGTGCAGGGGGAGTTGGGGCTCCCTATGGGAAGGATGGTGTCCCAGCTGGAGCTGGTGTTGGTGTTGCTGGTGGTGCAGGAGTTGTGTCTCCCTATGGAATGGATGGTCTCCAGGCTGGGGCTGTGGCAGGAGCTGCTCCTTTTCCCTTTGGAGGTGAGGGAGCGATGGGATCTCAGCATGGCAGGGACGGTGGGCTGGGCAGAGCTCCGGGATATCCAGGGGGAGCAGGAGGAGAGAACTTTTCCGTGGAAGGGTGGGGTGTGGGTGGCTCTGCAGTGTGGGGCGCTGGATCTCCCTACGGCAAGGATGTGGGATCAGCTGGAGCCTGGGCTGGTGCAGGAGCTGGTGGGAGGTTGGGAGGGGATGGAAGGGATTCATTCCTTGGTAAAGGAGGTGTGGGAGGTGGTGGTGGACCAGGTAGTGAATATGGAAAGGGCATTGCCAGTGATGGCAGAGGATCAGGGAACCAAGGTTCAGTTGGTGACAGAGGGTCACTGTCAGGTCAAGGAGATGTCTGGGGTGAGGGCAGAGATTTAGGCCAGTTGGGCTCCCTTTATGGCAGAGATTCCACCTTTGGAGGGGCAGGGAGCAAATCCTGGAACAGACCTGCTGATGGGAGCAGTTCAGGTGGTTTTGGTCAAGGTCCACCCAGTCATGACCAGATGTCAGCTCTTTTTGGTGGGCTTGCCCCAGCAAGCCAGAGGAACGAGGAACCTGACCTGGATGTTAAAGCAAAGGATCTCCCAACCAACACAGAAAGTACAGCCCAGAAGAGACGGTCCTGCCTGGATGATCTCAAAGGTACGTGGTGGTGCAGTGGCTCCTTGGTGACTCCTGGGCTTTGCATTTGGACACTCACGTTCCTGGTCCTGCAAAGAAATGGAATTTTATGGGCCAGACAAACAGAGCTCTGTGTAGAAATTTGATTGTGATCCCTTCCTAATTCTCCCACTGATTTGCTGTTTATCTTACACGACTTGCTCTGATCAAATTGCCTTCAATATTTAAATGATCCTTGCTGAAATGGTCTAAATCAGGTCTCATCTGTTCATTCAAATACGTTTCACATCCACGTGGAACCGACCGATTCCCGTAAAGTTTCAAGGAATATCATCGTGTTTCTTTGATATTGTTGTAATTTAAAACTTGTTGCTAATTTAAAACTTATTTTTTCTAACGTCTAGTGCAAAGAACTGTGGTTTTCCAAGTTCTGGGGGTAATTCTTTGCTTCTATTTGGTTCTATTTGATCAGGCCTAATGTGAAGTGCCTGCTTATACTGGATTATATAATGTAAAGAGCTCTTTTCTCTTGTAACATCAGAAATAATAAGGTGCTGATATAGTAAAAGGGGAGTAATGTGTTTGTAGCTGTTTGAGTAAGACCTGTGGCTCCACTAGCAAGATGATGATGTGAAAATTGTAGAAATTAGGAATTTCAAATGTGTAACCAAAGGGGAATATTCACCTAATGGGATTGCTGACAAATTAGGAACTATCAAGGCAAACAAAATATGAATAAGGAAGTAAGACAAAATTGGAGTTCAAGGGGTGTTTATTAGAGAGGGGATGAGGTTGTTAATGGAGAAGAACTTGGAAAGGGAAAGAGGAATATGGGGGTGGAGAACAATATTCCCGGGGCTGTTTGGGGGAACCCCCATGGCAGCCCCGTGTCTGGTCAGTGCAGAGGAAGAGGATGGTGAAGCAGGATATCCACACCCTGGAACAGCCTGTTTTTCCCCACTGGCTGTAGAGGGAGCCAGGACAATCAGCACAGACATAAAGCAGCAAATCCATAGCTGAACAGTGTGATTTGTGACGACTCCGCTGCCCGGGGGTTGATGGTGGGACTGTACCATGAACAGGCCAGGCTGGCACGTCCCTTCTGAGGGTACCCAGGTGGCCACAGTGTGGGGCACAAAAGCCTGTCATGACCACAGGACACATGTTTTAAAAAGCTCTCTTTTCTCTTCCCATGCACGTCCATGTCCCTGTTCTCCCCATTTCCCCCCGACTGTTCAGTCCCCCGGTGTTACCTCAACAAGCAGCTGGCCACGGTCCGGGTGGTGAGGGGGGAGCCAGCCGAGCTCTCCTGCACCGTCAGCAAGGAGGACGTGACAGGAACCTGGTTTAAAGACGGGCTGAAGGTGGGTGTCCTTCCACTCACTGTTTCCTTTGGTCAGCAGTGCTCTGCTCTCTGCCTTCACTCCCTAAGTGCCGTGCCAAGGTGTCCTTCCCTCTGCCCTCTGCTGAGCCGGAGCGTGGCCCTGCAAAGATTCACAGACTCACAGAATCCCAGGACGGTTTGGGTTGGAAGGGACCTCAAAGACCATCTTGTTCCCACCCCCTGCCAGGGGCAGGGACTCCTTCCACTAGCCCAGGCTGCTCCCAGCCCCGTCCAACACTTACAGGGATGGGGCATCTGCTTCCTGATAGAAACCCAGGAAGATTTCCCCCCCTTCCTGCTACCAGACATTCCCATTCTTGCTGACTACAGCCAGCTTTGTGTTTTCCATTCTTTTTCAAGGATGGAGATGGTGTGGTCACTTGCTTGCAATGCAACCCTTCTTTTCCTGGGTGAATGAGAGAAAAATGCCAAAAGCAAGGGAAGAATCCTCAAAGGATCTTTCAGGCAGGGATATCGTGGAGAGTGTTCATTCAAATTAGTGCTTGAGGTCAAGCACAGACATCATACAGAATTATAGGGTTGTTTAGGTTGGAAAAGACCTCTAAGATTATCAAATCCAATCTTGAACCCATCACCACCACCACATATCCATATCCTATAGATATATTCTATATCCTTTAGTCTATGTTCCTAAAGAATGCTGAAGAGTGATTCCAGCTGTGGGATCCAGATGATATTGTAGGACTTCTGAGGTGTCAGACTCAAGCACTGATCAAAAGTTTTGTCATTAAGAACAGAAAGAGAGAGCTTGGAGGTTGATCTAACATTTATTTTAATTGATCTTTGAAAAAAACCAAGTCTTTGTGGGGGGTATGTTGATAATGCTTATCTCAGTTTCAGTTGGGATTGCTTTTTTCCCTTTTTTTCTCAAAGCATGGGTCTCTGTCCTTTGCCTTGTAGTTGACAAGCATGCAAGGAGTTGTGTTTGAAAAGAAAGGTCTAGTCCACAAACTAATTATTAACAAAGCCGAAGACATTCATGCTGGGAAATACAGGTTTGAAGGTGGAGATGTGAAAACTGAGGCTTCAATTTTTGTTGAAGGTGAGTCTGTTAAAACCACCAATGCAGGATGTAAGCTTTGATGGGCTTTAAATGTAATATGTTTTATCAGAGACCAGTAGTTGGTTATGGAGATAACTTTGTTATAAAGAATTCCAAGATAACTGAGAGATGGTTTTTGTACAGGTTGGTGCATTTTGTATTCACAAATTTAACTAGGGAGCCTTCCCACATGGATCCTGTTGGTAACTCAGAGATTTTGGGGTGCACAGAACACTTTATCAGAGCAGTTCTTCATTCTTTGTGTTTAGTGCGTTGCTAAAGAGAAACCTTCTCCAGTGGAAGGTTTTTGTGACACCACAAAACCTCCTGATAATTATCCCGTAGCAAAGCACAAGTTTGTGAATCCCTGAGCACAAAACCAGTGAAGGTCCAAGTGTTGTGAGATCCTCAGAGTTCCTGGCAGCATCCTGAGCCCTTCCCTCCGAGCCTCGTCCTCTCTGAATTGTGGTTTTTAATGACTTTTTGTATCTCCTGGTCAGACCCTCCACAGGTTGACAAAGTTCTCCTCAAGAACCTGAGCAGTGTCCCCACGGTGGCCAAGGCCGGGCAGGCAGTGAAGCTCAGGATCCCCTTCGAGGGCCGTCTGCCCATCAGGGCCACGTGGCTCAAGGACAAGATGGAGCTGGCAGATGACACCAGGATCCGTGTGGATAAAACAGACACCCACACCACGCTGTCCATCCCCAGCTGCGACAGGAGGGACTGTGGGGATTACAAGGTCAGGCTGAAGAACGACAGCGGAGTCCTGGAGATCGACTTAAAGCTCATGGTCATAGGTAAGAGCCCCATAAATCCACTGCTGAGCTCAGGCAGGGAACCCACTGACACTGGTGACAATCTTATTTGGAGCTGCAGGGTGTTCCAAGAGGAACAAGACTGCATTTTGCCACTAAATCAGGGTACAAGGAAAGATTGCTGACGTGCTTCTTGCCCTTTAGTATGAGGTGGCACAAGTCTGGTTTGGTTTTTCCCAGCCTCAGCAGCTGAGTTTGGAACGCTGAGAGACTATGGGAGATGGGACTGTGCTCAACATGCAAATCTGAAACGGGGTGTCAAGGCCAAATTCAGCCCTACCATCGATGTCTGGGCCCCCTTGGGAGACCAGAAATGACATTCTTCCTGTGTTATCAAGCTGACTTGGTGCAGTGCTTATGGGAACAGGGAGAGCAAGGGCCTGGCTCCCCCTTTCCATCAGAGTTAGAAGAGTGGATATTTGGAAGAGGCAATTTCAGTGCCCAGCCCTCATCCTGCAGCTGTGCCATCAGGAACAGTCTCGCAGCTGCTGAGCAAGAGCCAGTGTGTGCTCCAAACCCAGGAGCACATCTGGGTCGGGAGCCAACTCATCATCCCTCTGTCCATCTTTCCAGACAAGCCACAGCCACCAGCAGGACCCATCAAAGTCGTGGAGAGCTCTGCCAATGCCATCACCATCCGGTGGCAGCCCCCGAAGGACGATGGGGGCAAACCAGTGCAGAGGTACCTTGTGGAGAGGCAGCAGGCGGGCAAGAACGACTGGGAGACCTTGGGAGACACCCCCAGGAGCTGCACCACCTTCACCACCAACAAGGTGGAAGAAGATACGAGCTACTACTTCAGGGTGAGGGCCGTGAACGTGGAGGGGACGAGCGACGCGCTGGAGTCGGGCGAAGTGAAGGCGGCTGGCAAAGGTGAGGAGAACTTCTAATTCACAATTCAGGTTGGGAAATCCATTGTCAAAGCTGACATCAGAGAACACTCACTGCATTTTGGGTGTTGCTGCAGATCTAAACTCTAGTGGTGGCTGTGAGGTCTTCACACAAACCTGTGGAGGCTGCACAGCAAGAGCAGCAGTTTGTTGTAGGCTCTGGTGCTGCTGAGGAGGAGTTGCCTTCTTGGCAATGCTCCATCCTGAATTGGAAAACCAGTTCCAGAGGGGAAATGCAAAACACATCCGGATCAAAGGAAATTTTTCCCAGTGTGGCTACAAAGGGAACGTGTGAGGCCTTTTCTCAGCTTCCTGGGCAAAGCAGTGTCTCCGTGGGTGCAGCATTTGTAGCATGACCACTCCATTCCCCTGGTTTCCAAACAACTGAATATATTCTTTGTCCTTCAATGAGTTCAAATACTAGAACAGGTTAGCCATGAGCACAAATGCAGTACTACAGAGAGAGCAATGCTATATTCTGGTTCTTTCTACACTGACTATGTATTTTGAAAGCTTTAGCAGAGAGTTAAAAAATCCATTCTGGTCCCAGTTTCTGTCACTAAAAGCAAGGCTGATGCTGACTGTTCCTACCACATAAGAAGGACACACCTCACTCCACTGGCTGACAGTGGAATTGTCAGTCCTGCTGACAGCAGGTCTTTTGTGAAATCAAAACTCAGGAACAAGGTCTGTGCTGGATCCAGGTTTTCAAAGCACATCCATGGGAATACCTTGGGGAAAGTGGAAGAAGAAACGACACAGAACACTGTTTTATCTTGCAATAAAAATACACCTGCTAATAATGGAACCCTAATGTCTTTCCAGCTTCCCCTGGTGCCCCAGATCCCCCTGAGATTGTCAGTGCCAGCAGGGACACCGTCACAATATCCTGGAAAGCACCTCGTAAAACTGGCACTTCCCAAATCGTGGGATACATCGTTCAGAAACGCAAGAAGGGCACCATGACCTGGCTGCCAGTCACCAATGGGCCTGTGAAAGGTGAGTATCCCAAATCCTGGAACAGTCTGGAACACTTGACAAGGTAAAAAAGTTCAATTGGGTTCAGGAATGGCTTGGGATCTCACACCTTTTCACACTGGTGTTTTTCCTCTGCAGTTCTTGAGCTTCTGACTCACCCTGTTGCAGCCATTTTAGCCTGTCTGAAGTTTTACCTTCTATTTTTCTCAGCTCTGGTGTGTTCTGGAGTTTTCTCTCAACTCCATTTTTCTCCCAGCTGAGGTTTCCTGGCTGTGCCACAGCAAAGCCAGCTCTTGGTTTAAACCCAGCTGAGCCTGGGGGCAGGATTAGGGTCTTTTCTAGGTTGTGTGGAGGCACCTGGAGAAGAGCACAGAGAAGATCATGCTGCATCCTGGGATGTAGCTCCTCTGATGTCTCCAGTTTCTGGAATTAAAGCTTTCACTTCACACAGAACTATTGTCCTTAGTCCTACAGACAGGACTTTATAAATGCAAGGAATAGAAAGAAACCCAAGTGATGTGTCTGAGCTCCAGAGTGTGCTTTGACTATAGCAGCATCTTCTATTAGGGGCAAGTTAGGACTTCTCAGGTATAGAAGGGTTTAGGATCATCCCCTGAGGAAAAGCAGGATGCATCCTGTATCCCTAACTTAATAACTCTCAGCAGCACTGCTGAGGCTGCGCCCTGAGTGCTGGGCCCAGTTCTGCACCACCTAACTCAAGAGAGACATGGAGGGGCTGGAGCATGTCCTGGGAAGGGGACGGAGCTGGGGAAGGGGCTGGAG